GCCCAGGGAAGGGGTCGAGTCCCCAGCCCTGGGGGGATTTAACAGCCGGGCAGAGGTGGTGCTGAGGGCCAGGGTTTGCGGGTGGGATGGCAGGGGTAGGGGGGCGGTTGGGCTGGGGGAGCTTAGAGGGCTTTGCCAACCCAAACCACCCTGTGGTTCTGGTTTGTGCTTTGTGAGTCGCCTCAGTTCTGGGGAGGCGTCAGCTGACGAACGCTGATTTAGCCTGACCTCATTCTGCTGCTGTTTCTGCACTTTCAATTTTGAAATTTCATGGAATAATGAGGCAGTGTAATTCCACCTTCTTTTATTCTTTACAGACCTTCTGTTTTCTTACAGCGGAGGAGCTGTAGTCTGCAGGCAGCTGCCTCCATTTTTTGTCCAGCTCTGACCTGTTAAAAAGGAATGTGCTGCGCGTCGCACGAGGAGGGGTTTGCTGGGGCAGAGCAAGGTCCTGTACCAGCACAGCGGCGAGGTCTGAATCGTAGCGTACAGCACCAGGCAGCCAAGTTACCCTTTTACAGCTGGCATCCGTTTGAGACCTTCCGCTTCTGAACATCTAACTTTTGGGTATCACTTCTGGAATATTTTAAAAACTGGAAAACAAAAGTTGCTCGCCTGCTTCCCAGCCACCCTCTCCAGATGCCGGAGCAGCTGCGTTTGCGGTTGCCTCCTCGCTGGACCTTTCCCTGAGTAAAAGAGCCAGTGAGTTATGCAGGTACTTGCTAGAAAACAGCTTCACAAAGGATTTTCTCCCAGGTCTAGGAACAACGAGAAAAGTATTGCTCTTGAGAAAGGAAAAGGCGGTATTTTGTATGGAAATTAACAACAATGAGTCATGTTACCAAAAAAAAACCGGCATAAATAAACTCCGGGGCTCGGAGGGGTGAAGTGAACCAGTGGCCCCGGCCTCCGTCCAGCGTATCCCGCGCCCGCAGCGGCGCAGTTGCAGCAGGTTAGGGAACACCTCCGGATAAACGACAACCGGCGGCTCCACGCTGTGATCCTCGCGCAGGCTGTCCCGCTCCCAGGAGCCGTGTCCGGGCAGGAGAAGCGCTGCGTGCTGCGGATCAGCCGGATTTTGAGGAGATTCCCGCAAGTCTTGACGCAGGCACGTGCTGGTCTGAGACACATAAAAAAATTAAATGGGAACGACACGGAAACCGCAGGGGCTTGTAGGAACAAGGGGAGGGGTGGTTCTGCTGCAGCCCTGCTCTGCTGCCCAAAGCCTGTTCTCCCTATGGATGTAGCCACAGCGAACCGGGAATTGTTGCTCTTTGGAGATTTACGTCGGATCCCGTTGCCTGCAGGGGAACGTTTGGGATCTCTCTGTTCCAGGCTGCGGCGGTGCGGTGGTCAGCTCTGAGTTGCAGAGTCGGGCAAAGAGTTCGGAATACACAGAACCGCCTGGATCGTTGTCAGGGGGATCCCGAGCCCTGACTGGCCGAGTTGCAGGCAAGGGGGTGACACCTGAGAGTCGTCAGAATTTGGCAAGGGGTCGGGCACATCCAGCGGGAAGCAGAGGGGGTAAGGGCGCGCTTGAGGCAGGAGAACCTGATGAATTCACGGCGATCCTTTTTCACCAGCAGAGCCGTGTGGGAGAAAGGCTGTACCAGCGTGCAGAGTGTCAGGGGGCTTGCAGATTGAAAATTGGGCTTCTACACCACCAGCGGGCTCACACCAAAAAGCGTCGGGTGTCACCGTACGTAGGCACGGACTGCGGGAGGAGCTTCGGTCGCCACGCGGACTCGATTCA